GAATAAAAAATGGCTACCGAGTCTGATTATCCTGAGTGATAGCCTCTATGATCCAGCAAAAACAAACAACCCACAAGAATTCCAAAATATACCACTTCTTGGCAACGACATGGCGACAATACATATTGGCATATTGTAATATAGGCTATCTCCACATATGCAATGTTTCTCTTACATAACATACACTGAGATATACATGCCCAGCGAATTGGGTGGTTTGAGAGTGTAATCAAGGCATGTCTACCTGGAACGGAGGTTAGACCTTGCGTCCCTGGAAATGGCTTCCAGGAATGCAATGCCACAGAGCTCTATCATCAGCTCTTGAGACTGTCACAAAAAGCATTTCCAACAGATACTGCAGAAGGAGCTTTCTCTTGTGACGACGAAGATATTGGATGTATTGAAAACAAAATCAATTTTGGTCAATTGGTAACTTTTAACAATGTGGAAGTTGACCGATACAAGGATCAAATACAAATAAAATCTACAAACTTGACTACTATTCAGGTATACACTTGACATCAACTATTTCTCACTTACGACGTCTAAGAGTAGCATATATTAATATATAAGTATAAATAAACCCTTTCCATACACAAACATCAAATTATCCTCTTTTCCACAGTACAAGATTCCACCAATTAATTCACCGCTAATTTAAACCCACAAATTAAAACCTTTCTGTACACACAGAAGGCATAACAATTTCTCTCAAAATTGAACTTCTGTTAAAATTAGTATTTCCAATAAATAATATACTGCTAAACTGTCTCACCAACAACAATGATGATCACTGTCACTGACATCGACAATGACCAGTAAGTAGTTTACAAAATGTACACCTACAGTAATTCATTTTTTTTTCTCCCTTTAGGGTCCTCCTTTTGAAGCTTGTCAACTACTGTGGTAGTCAATGACAACCACTTGTTCTGTCGATTCAGAACGGTTAAGAAATTTATTATTATTATTATTACTTTTAAAGCCATAGCTTTACCAACACTCAGATTTACATAAATGGTTTTCTTGCTAGCGAAAAATATTTCAGTAAAACAAGGCGCTGAAAAAGTATGGTTAATACACATTAAAGTTTTTAATTACATTATGATGGAACGCACAAAAAGACGAGACTGTACTTAATTAAACATTTAAAGTTAAGCTTTCAACAAATTCATAATTTCAAGGATCATTATATAGAAAAAATATTGGCATCATTATCTTCAGTGCCATCAAGATTTATATCAAATGGATTAGAGCAAACTGTGGTAACAGAATTAAGTCAGATCAACATAGTAACCACGCTTACATTGGGGTGAGCTCCCAGAGCACATGGCTAATATTATAATAAAGCTAACAATAGTTTGCAAATCAGATGAGAATAACCCAACTGGGACAAACATTATAGTAATTCAGAACAGACATGGCACAAACAACTGTGTTGTTATACTTAAAACTCCCTCATTTGTTATTTAATCTTTCTAAAAACAATTCTATTTTTAATGAAATTTTATAATATGTATTACAAAATTCAATTAAATTGGCCATAATTTGTTGTTATTTGTATTAATTGTTTTTACAGACACCATCAACATCAAAAGAGTGGAATGACACTGCCAACTCCTTGTAGATGAAATGGAATTTCCCAATTTGTTTGGGTGCCTTAAACGGCAAACACATGAATTCTGGATCAGAATATTTCAATTCTAAAAATTCGTTTATTATGGTACTCATGGCCTTGATTAAGTCATCATATAAATTTTTATAATGTAGATTTTGGCACCAATGGACGAGTGCTACAAATGCTCCTTAGATAATAGACTAAAGAACAATGCAATCGGGGTGCCAAACCTAAGTCCACTGCCTGCTACTAATGTAGGTGTATCTATGATTGTTGCAGATGAGGCATTGCCATTTCCCTTCAAAGGGCTAGGCGGGTTTCTGGAAATGCATTTGGAATCTTTTCAAACTGATTTGGGGTTTTCTGCACGACAATCAAAATAAGACCAAAAGTGTGCAATCTTTAGTGTTTGCGTGTACAGCATTTCACAATATGCTAAGATGCAATATTATCATTATTCAATATACACAAAACACACAAACTTAACAATATTTAGCCAATGCACTAGACGATGGTTTTTTTAAGTCATTACAACAATATTTATTACAGAAGAAATATAATTAACATCACTATTTATTTTATAGTGGTCTTAAATCCATATTCATATTCATATTGTAAAATCAAACAAATTATTTTACACCAAGTCCCCGCCCCATACTGTCATTAATAATTTATGCATTCATATAAAAGTATACCTATGATTGGATGGGATAGGTCCCAAACATTTGTGTACTCTGTTTAATTGTGTTCTGTTTATCAATTTGTTTATGTAGTGATCTTTAGTCCTTTTTGAAACCCTTGATATTGACTCCCAGTAATTTCATAATTATAACTACAATGTAGTTGCAACCAATATAATATTATCATGTAACTGCTGTAATAATATCAATATTACTGTCTTCAATTGAATTCAATCAACACAAATATACTTTAAATTCTGATTTTATTTCAGTTCTCGGCAATCCACTCATCATAACCTGGTAGAAGGTAAGCTCAATTCACTGGCATCATTTGAAAAATGCAATGGCCCAACCATCTCTTGCCAGTGAAATGGCTGGCATAAAGTGTGAAGGTATGTATCATATGTTCTGTTATACAATTTAGGAAATTAGCATGAACATGAAAGTCCCGATGAAAGTGCAATGGAATCTTTATAATAATAGCCATAGTGATAGACCTACTAAATGCAACAACAACATTTGATCAATATTTTCATGCACATATAAGTATATTGAAACAAAATGTAGTCTAGGTATTTAGGAGTTGAAGAATGGATTGCTCAAGCCTCTCCGACTCGAAGAGACCACGTTATGGTGGCAAAGCAATTGGCTAGGCCTACCACTGAAACTACAAAAACAGTGAGTAAGCTAGGCCTCTAATACAAGTAATAATAATATTTGCTAAGTTAAATGTGTAGCCTATTCGTTTTATTTATAGGCCTATGTGTACAAGTGTCCCTTGTTATAGGCCTGCGTAAATACTGGCTATGGGTATGATGATGATTTTCACCATCCGCGGCCGTCCGTACGTCGACCTTACGATTCACGAAAGAGTAGGGCACGGAGGTAGCCCCTAGTTTAGTGTCCCCATAACTATAAATTTTTATAAAAAGTTCTTGTGGTAGGCCTAATACTTTTTCAATTAGTCCCTTAACAATGCAAACCACACAAACGTCAACACGTACATTAATTATATTAGAAATGCAATGTAAACGTTAGACGCATTTGTCGCGCTTTTCCATGTGGTTAACCTCCGCATGTGGGTAAGTTAATGAGCATGATCGTGTGTAGTGCCACAGTAGTGGACAGTCAGATAGTCAACGTACAATTGAGAGAACTTGGCTTGGACTTACTTGCGTTGGTATTCAGAGGACACATTCCTGAACCAGAAAAAATGGCGAGTCACGGGCATGAGCTCTTTTAGTCTTTATAATTGTACTTTGGTAGTCTTTAGTAGTTAAGTAACCTGTGGAGCCTAGCAAACTCTACATGTGATCGTTAAACGCCATCTAACACCCAGACGCGTCTGCCACAGTTTTGTCATTTTGAAAATCACGCCTTATAGTGGGAGTGACTGGCACTACAGTGTTAGGGTTTATGTTTTGTGAAGTTGAGGTTTTGAAATCCATACTGATACTTTGAATACCACTGTGCTAATTTATTCAATGTAACAGTAATAAACTTTGTGAAATGTCCAAAGGGAGTGAGTCCAATTAAACATTGCATCAAGTAAATTCACAATGCTCTTGTTAATGCAAGCAAAGAATGCAATATTTTTATACATATTTTCTGTCTGTTTCTGTTTATATGTGTTGTTTTCAGTAACTGTTTATAACAAAACTTATGGAAACATTATTTTCAGGTCATGGAAATCTTAGTATGTAATAAATATAAAATCTCTCATTGTAGTTACAAAAAATGATGAAAACCACTCCAAATTTCTCAGAAGGTAGCAATTAAAGTTGAAAAAGTACGAATGACCCGGAAGTATCGCTACCCATAAACAATCGCTTCTTCTCTTGATCCGCGCTGTTTTCGAGAAGGAGGTATCAAAATATTTTCGTGTCTTAAAACATACGTAGTTACATATTTTACGCTGTGATTCAACAAATTTCAAGAATATTCAGGTTAGTCTTAATTTTTAATAACAATTTTATTGCGTATGTTGTATTTTGTCAATTTTAAATATTTAGAAAGAAATAAACAAAGGCATGGGTGTTGTATTTGGTGGTTATGAGCCAAACACGCACTGGTTGCTAGAAAAAGGGAAACAAAATTGTTCATGTCCCGTATTTACGTAGTTCCAAGTATTTAAATATAAGGATTCTTGTTAAAGTAACGCAATAACTAAGAATTTAATTTAAACGGAACATATTTATAATTATTTGAAGTTAATATTTTCAATTCAATTCAATTCAATTCAAAATCATTTCAAAAATCACAACACATAATTTGTGTTGTGAAGTATATTCCTAAACTTCCATTCCATAACTAAATTGCTGCAGTTGGATACAAGTTAATTTAAAGCTTTATTTTGAAAATGAGGGTTGATAATTTGTGAAACAATATTTTATCATATAATATTTTATAGTATTTTTTTTCCCCAGTTTTCTTGTTATTAAGCATATAAAATGCCACTGTCATCAAAAAAGAAAAAATTGCCGTTTACGTTGCGTGTTCAACTACAATCAAATGAAGCAGCAAGCTGTGAGACATCCAAAAAAAAGAAGGGAAAAACCAAAAATAGGGACAAATTATCAAAAACCAATCCACAAAAATACAAACAATACAAAGAAGAAGCCAAGATATACAGTTAGTATTACAGACTAAAAACTTCAACTTAAAAAAAGAAATCTACCTACCAAAGAGAGAGAGGATGCTGAATTATGGCTTTTGAGAAAAAAAGAAACAATAAAACTGCAAGAATTCGCATGAAACGAATGAAAGAGAGAAAAGAAGCAGAATCCACAAAGAAAGGAAAAACAAAGAAAACACTAACAAGACAGCAACATGAGCAGTCAAAGCAAAAAGAAGCCAAAAAGAAAAGAGAACAGAGGGCTGGATATTCAGCTGAACGCCGTGATGCGATTTTAGCTAGAAGAAGAGAGCTGTATGCCATGAAGAAAAAGCAGAAGAAAATAAAAGAATGCGAAGAGCAGGAAAAGATTTTAAAGCAGAAAGAAGAGGAATTAGCAGAAAGGGAAAAACAGAGCGTAAATGTAAAGAAGTAGAAGAGAAAAATAAACAACTTGGAAATGACGATGCTCTTAACATGCGTAGCAGTAGAGCAAAATATAAGGCATACCAAGACGACGATCACATTGCATAAATACGTCGATAGAACTGATCAAAAAATCCACACCAACAAAAAAAGCTGCATTTAAAAAAGCTGGAATTACAAGCAAAAGTAAACTAGAGGAATGTGTTCTTAATGCTTGTGTGGAGGGGTTGAAATCTAACAAGAAGAGCTCAACGGCAAGAAAAAGTTTAGCTACCACACTAAGTGTTTTAAAGAAAGATAAACTTCAAAGAAAAATGTGCATGTGGGCTGGTGTAAGCAAGAAACGGCTGCAGAATGCTAAGAAAGTAAAAGCTGGTAGGAAGCCCCTTCCTCAAGAAACTGTTAATGCCGTCAAGTCTTTCCCTGATTGCATTACAAGGAAGTGTAGTGAGTGTGGAGTCCATCTGATTGATAACTTTTAACTAGATCAAAGCATGGAGGAAGGAAATTTAGAAATCTAAGGAAGGAAATCTAAATTTCCTTCCTCCATGATCAAAGTGAGCTAAAAGAAATTAAGTGGAAGCCCTGGGATCTTGTTGAAAGCGTATGCTACAAAAAAGAAACAAAAACTGTAAAAAATGACTGCCACTGTACACCCATCGTAGCATATTATAAGTGCAATGCTTGTTTGAAGCTAGTGACGGAGAGTTGTGTGTTCATCAGTGATGACCTTGTCCATGATTATCACCTAGTCAACAAGTTTCAACAAATCATCACGTCCCATTTAATTGACACACGGGGTATAAGTTTGAAAACATTTTACAGGTACAGTGATGGTTGCAGTGGACAGTTCAAAAGCAAAGGTCCCATATCGGACATAAGTTACGCTATGGAGGATTTTGGATTTAATATTGTCCACAACTACTCCAGAACTAGACATGGGAATGGGCCTAGCGATGGTGAGAGTGGCGTAGTTAAGAGACATGCGTCAGAGGCCATTAAAGCTGGAGCAGCCATCATCAACAATCCAAATGCACTCTTTAGATACTTGAGGCAAAATCTAGTGAAGGAAGCTGAAAACTGAAGCTGCTGTGCATCATTACTACGGTCAATTCATTTTGTCTCCTCTAATGAAGTTGACCGAGATCGTCAAGATAGAGCTGTTAGAACTGTAGCAGGTACAAGAAGAATGCATAGTATTAAGAATGTCTCTGGTGGTATAGTTGCAACACGGAATCTCTTGTTTATGTGATGGGTGCTTGCGAGGTGTTGGTAAATGTATCAATGAATTATATGTTCACCAGTGGAGAAATGTTGACCTGACAAAACAAGGAAAATGCAGTAGGAAGGAAGAAAACCAGAAGTCCAGAAATGGTAATTTTTATTTGTTATAAGTGATGATAAATAATATGCTGTTAATCTTTAATGTTCTCAAATTATGTATTTATAATTTTTAATTTACAGCAGCAGCTGCCAGCCAATGCACCAAACCTCCAGCAGATATTCCTTCCTGCACCACCAAACATGATGATGGAATTGCCATTGATGTTATGCCAACGAATGTAATTGCAGATGAGAAACAAATAAATGAGCAAGTATTATACTGTATTTATTATCCCCAGTATGAAATCACACTTTCTATTTTTCTTTCTTTTTTAAAAATAAAAATTCTTATAAATTTTATATTTTCTTTATACAGCATAAAAACCAATAACTTTGTGGTGTGAAGTTTCCAGAAATCATCAATCAATCAGGTTTTTATGATTTCACCTCTGAGCGACAGGCCACGCATCCTTTAAGTGATGTTGTTCAATCTATGACAGATCCTTCCATGGAGCAAGTTGGTAGACGATCTTACCTGTACAGATTTGATGAAAAGGAAGTTGATAGTCTTTCTAGTCAATTTGAATTGAACAATCTCCAGGCAAGTGTGATGGAAGCAGTGTCTGTTGGCCTCAAGGCACCAAGGAAGTCTACATCTAGGAAAAACCTTGCAAGTACACTAAGTATCATCAAGAAACATAAACTTAGAGGAAATTTTGCAGAATAGTGTAAGCCGCAAATTACTTCAAAAGGCGAAGAAAGTTGTAGCTGGAAGGATGTCTGTGTCTCCGGAAACAGTAGAAATTATTCAAGCCTTTTTTGAAAACAATTAACTCCAACCAACTGCCAGACAAGAAACTTGTCAGTAAGAAGACGATGAAGCCTCTTCACAAATGGAAGTCACCATTGCCAAACTACATCAATAGTATATGAAGGAAAATCCCAATAATCCTGTATACCAATCTGTGTTCTACAAGCACCGTCCCAAGCATGTGAGACAAAAAGCACATGCTAAATACACAGGATATTTGTGCGAGTATTGTGAGAACGTGCAATTAAAGATCAATGCCGTCACTAAAAGTTAAAAAAAGTAAAAAAAAAAAAAAAAGTTAAAGTGTTGTTGTATTTGTAATGGTATGCCATCTCGTCTAAGCTTAATTGATTTTGTTTAGGGTCTATTCTAAATATTTTAGGCCCGTTTTATTAGGGAAGACTATTTTTAGTCATGCCTAAACTAGTCGATGCGAGTGACTCAGTTTCATGGCTCCAAAAATATTAACATTTGATTGGTTGAAATTGTTTATTTCAGTCCGCCCATTTATCCAAATACGGAATATAAGATTACGTCCTTGTTTTGACATCCTGGTGCGTGTATTCAGTGTTTTACAAGTCGCTTATTCTGTCTCTAAATTAACTTTCTCATTGGTGGTGCTGTCCAGAATGAGAAAAATAATAAGCACTTTCTCCACAGATATTTTCAAAAGTAAGATAGGCATGTTGCAAATGCAACCTCCAATGCTCCTTCCTGGTGTATTTCATTCAAGTCATGCAACACAACAAATAAACTCTAACTGCTAAGCCAAGTAGCTCCCACAGAAAACAATTTTTTTTACATAATATTATAGTATGTAAAATGTCAAAAAGTATTCTTTGGTATTTTTCACTTCAGATATTGAGAAACACAGATCTCCAGAAATGTCTATTGATAGCTGTGCATTGACAGTTACACTAAGCAGCCCTTCAATGTCCAATTTATACAGCAGCCCATCAGAGACCGAATATGATATTAAGTACTTTCGGCCTACAAATTTTAATACAGGAAAATTATATCAGGTTGAAATATTTTTTTAAAGATTTTTGGATGCTACAATTCAGCAGTTTGTTACCATACTTTTTTTTGAGCTGTGATGGTTAATTCATTGATATATAAATTGATTTTTGAACTGAATTAACCCTGTTTAAACCATGATAAATGAAAAGAGTGATTGGTGCAAATTGCCTGCAATTGATAGTGTGAACCTTTTAGGCTCGTTCGGACGGGTGTTCATTTACCGTGTACCTCCAGCTGTGCGGCAATTACAGCTGGAAAAACGATTAGGAAAAAGTGGAATGAAAACCAGCCTACCTTACCAGGTTTTTGAATCTCATTCCAATTACACACTGCCCGCAGGTATAATTCATCAAGCACAAATGAGGTTTGTGTCAAAAATTGACCTTCTGATTGGTTCTGAGTGCATTACTCAGTAAACACGCGCGATCGCATGCTTTTTTGACACTCTTTTCAATTCCGACGTTTATCGTGATCGTTGTTACGTTGCTGTATTTACCATGTAGATTCGAAATATAACATAATATAATTTATAAATTGCCTTTTTATCAAACACTTAAAACAAACGGAATGGTGAACGTTTACTGGACCGAGGTTGCAACGCAGTTCTTAATCACTATTTGGGGGAATTCGAAAATTCAAGACGGCTTCGATGGTACTAGGCGAAACGGAGCAGTCTACAATAAAATCAAGTCCAAGCTCGAAAAACTTGGTTTCCAATTCAAACTTTGCCAGATATATATATATATATATATCTATATATATATATATATCTATATATATATATATGGAGGCCAAAGATGACTGAAACCGATCAGGTCAACTGATTGGCCATATTTTGATGATATGGACATTATTTTCGGCGATTGTCCAACAACCAAGCCAACCCACGTTGCTGGACTAGGCCTAGTAATAATAGCCAAGTCGGAGACAAAGCCAGGAGCCAAGCCGGCCTACTCATACAACCAGCAGTACCATTACTGCTCGTAGGCCTAATACTAGCTCAAACCAAGCAGATAACATGGCTAGTAGTAGTAGTAGCAGCTGTACTACTACAAGGCCTTGCACCAACAGCAGGCCAAACGAAAAATCCAAATCTAGCAGCTCAAACAAAGCAGCTAACCTGGGTAAGAACAATTCAGTATCTGTCTGTTCAGCGGAGCTGGACGAAACGTCACTCAACGTTAATTATAGTAGGTTCCAGTTTTTGATTAAAATACAATTTTAACTTAACCCTAACTGGATGAATAACAACATTCACAGCTTGGTAGGTTTGTCAAATTTAAGCAAGAAAATCTACAAATCTAAGAACTATAAATCTCTGATAGGCTAACAACATCTTTCAGTTTTACAAGCAGGTCATTCCAGTCAACAATTAGAGAGCACACACAGGGTTGTTGACAATGTTAATGGTGGTGGACTTTGGAAAATTAATGAAACAGTTCAAAAACATTCTGACTATAGCTGAATTGGAATTTCATGCAAACATCAATTCAAGAAAGATTGTTGGGACTCTTTGTGGTAAACCGAGATAGGCTTATACCAAACATGGATAGGTTCATGTAGTCTTCAAATAGACAAATCAGTTGCCAAAGACATTCTTGAAAACATATTAACTTTGTATATCAAGGTTAGGTCATTCTCATATGCTAAAGATGTCATAAATAAATTCAAGTGAAAGAAAGGGGATTTGCCTAAGTCAAATCCAAAATGTCATTGAAATATTGTTCAACACAACAATTTGGCATGTAAAATAACATCGATTTACGACTCTTATAAAACTGTGTATCAAAAGTTTCTTTCCATTGTTACAAGTTTGTTTTAGTCTTATCATTAGGGCATCCATAAATGTTATGCAA